GATTTTAGCAAATGGCTGCAATATAACAAAGAGTGAAAAATTTAAGGGGGTCTGAATACTTTCCGTACCCACTGTATATTCATGGAGGCCTTTCTCATCTGCAGAACTTGGCCTGAAAAAAATGTCAATTTTTTAGTGTCACATGTACTCATACTTTCTGGTATGTTGTCTTGCTTTGATTCTTGCCAGAACATATTTTTAAAACCAATACAGGATTCTTCTTGTTATGTGGTCTGAAATAATTTGTTACAAGATGTAGTTGTAGATATCTATTATTACAAGAACAAATGTGTAAGTTTGACTTTTTGATAGACAGTGTGGTCTTCTTAATTATTTATTTATTTTATAATTCACCATAGACCATAGTCTGGTTTTGTAAGGGTAAAATGCTTATAGAATAAAAAAAAAAAGAGTAAATATCTGCACATTGATTGCTGTTAGGTTAAAAAAAAAAACATCAGTAAACCATGCTACAGTACTTACATGTACATGGCTAAACGTTTTTAAAATGTTTTGGAAAGTTTTTTTATGCTGCTCACCAAGGCTGCATTTATTTGATAAAAATGCATTAAAAACAGTAATATTGTGAAATATTAATAGAAGAATTGAAACTTTTTAAAATTCTTAACATTTATATGTAATATATATATATATTATATTATATAAATGTTAAGAATTTATATATATTAAAATGCAATTTATTTCTGTGATACAAAGCTGAATTTTCAGCATCTTTACGCCAGTCTTCAGGTGTCACATGATCCTTCAGAAATCATTCTAATATTCGCGCATCGAATGTCGTGCACGCGTCCCAAAGACAGTTGGACATAGTGGTGTATTAGAGGTAAAATATGATATAAATACTGTTTGGTTTCTGGCACAAACCGATCGTTTCGTGTCTTAGGACATCAATGTGTCGTCACGAGCCGCAGGGTTTAATTTGGATTTGTCTGTGCATGGTTTTTTTACTCTCATAGATTTTGTTACCATTGCCATGCATTGTTCGACTGATAGACTGCAACGGCTGGAGTTCAAAATCTCCGTCTGTGTTCTACTGAAGAAACAAAGTCACCTACATCTTGGATGCCCTGGGGGTAAGCAGATAAACATCAAATTTTCATTCTTGGGTGAACTATCCCTTTAAAGCTTTAATTGGAAATCAGGAATTCATGTAAACAATCAGTAAAATGTCTGGACACACTTCGCTGAATTTATGTTTCTCATGATATTAAACTATTTCAATCTAAAGATGTTTGTTTAAATGCTTGAAATTTGTTATGTAGACAAAAATCAAAAAAAGGCAAACTGACCATAAATATTGACAAATTAGTATACATGCATGTTTTTACAGATCAATGATTTTATGTTATTTTACTTATAAATACTAGTTTACAATTATTTATTTTATTAGTCTTTTTTAATCAAAAATCATTCTAATTTCAACAAAAACAGACATTTTTATAATATATAATAATTATATATGTATTCATAATAACAAATGTAATAATAAATAATAAATCTAAATAATAAATATATGTTCTGTTTATGTAATAACTTTATGTAATATAACTAAAATATTATAACTTATATTATAATTTATTTACACTGTGTATATGTGTATAAATGACTTTAATGTATTTCAGGTGGTTCAATTTTTTACACTGTGTATGTATCAGGTTTAATACAGTTAATTAACAACTATATTAAAAACATTTCGTAACTAAAAATAAAATGAACCTTAACTGAAATTAAATATAATACTAAAAAAAAAATGTTTTTGCTAGTTTTACCAAGGCAACATTTCACAATTTCCTTTTTTTTATCTTGATGTACTAAAATAAATCAAACTAAATCTAAAAATACCAGACATATTTAAAAAATATATTAAAAAATACAACAAAACTACTAAAACTTTAACCAAAATTAACATGAAAACAGAAAATATAAAGATAAAAACAAATTTATACTATTAATAAAAAATATAATAGTATATCAGTGTTACTAAAATAACTCTTGCACAGTACATATACTGTGTGAATGTGACTTTAATGCATTCAAGATTTAATTATTATTATGCATAATACTGTTCGGTTTCTGGCACAAACCAATCGTTTCGTGTCTTAGGACATCAATGTGTCGTCACGAGCCGTAGGGTTTAATTTGGATTTGTCTGTGCATGTTTTTTTTACTCTCATAGATTTTGTTACCATTGCCATGCATTGTTCGACTGATAGACTGCAACGGCTGGAGTTCAAAATCTCCGTCTGTGTTCTACTGAAGAAACAAAGTCACCTACATCTTGGATGCCCTGGGGGTAAGCAGATAAACATCAAATTTTCATTTTTGGGTGAACTATCCCTTTAAGAAACATTGGTAACACTTCAGTATAGGGACCAATTCTCACTATTAAATAGTTGATTATTAGCATGCCTATTATTAACATATTGGCTGTCTATTAGTACTTATGAAGCACATATTCTGCATGACCATATTCTACACCCCTAATCCTATTCAATACCTAAACTTAACAACTACATTACTAACTATTATTAAGCAGCAAATTAAGAGTTTATTGAGGTAAAAGTCATAGTTAATGGTTTGTTAATAGCAAGAATTGGACCTTAAAATAAAGTGTGACTGAAACATTTCTGATTATTATCAATACTGAAAACGGTTGTATTGCCGAATATTTTTGTGAAAACCTTTTTTTCAAGACTCTTTAATGAATAGAAAGTTCAAAAGACCAACATTTATTTGAAATAGAAATCGTTTGTAACATTTTAAATGTATTTACTGTCACTTTTGACCAGTTTAATGTGTCCTTGCTGAATAAAAGGAAAAAAAAAAAATCTTACTGACCCCAAAGGGTTATCAAGAGTTATTTAGTTGAAATGGCATAATGGAAAGGTGCTATTTAGGTCGAAGCAGTTCTGTAAAAGAGTTTAAATTGATTCTGCGTGTGTGTGTGTGTGTGTGTCTGTGTACCTGTTTTTCTATTCTGGTGGGGACTTAAACCTGAATACACACAGACTCATGGGGACTCGTGTCACGGTGGGGACCTAAATTGAGGTCCCCACGGGTAAACATGCTAATAAATCACACAGAATGAAGTTTTTTGAAAATCTAAAAATGCAGAAAGTTTCCTGTGAGGGGTAGGTTTAGGCGCAGGGTTGGTGTAGGACAATAGAATATACGGTCTGTACAGTAGAAAAACCATTACGCCTATGGAGAGTCCCCACAAGGATAGCTGACCAGACATGTGTGTGTGTGTGTGTGTGTGAGAGAGAGAGAGAGAGAGAGAGAGAGAGGTGAGCAAGCACTCAGGCAGTCACACTAGTGTGTTGTCAGCGCTGTGACTGTTCACCTCTGATACATCACACGGCTTTGATGACTCAGAGGCACTTCTACATGTATCCCCAGGGGCCACACAAACACATACGTCTCTCCGCAGGGATTTGAGTGTCTGACAGACCCCCCTATGGCTCCGACTCCTCATCACGCTTATCCTGAAATAAAGTTGCCCTCTCAGAAACAAGCGCGTTCAGTCTTCACGCACCTCACGGCTCTGTAATCCTGACAGCTTCTCTCATTCTCCTTTTAATGTTTTTGTTGTGTTGTAGGGATGAAGCTCTTTGATGTTTGATGACCCCCCCCAATCATCCTTTTTAAGCATCATTGCACCAGACAGACAAATTTTAGCTATAATGCCGTAAAAGTTCAAATATCTTTAGTCAAAGATAACTTTGCTAGCTTCAGGTCCATGTTGGTCTAGGACAAATTTGAATGCGAACAATTGCAGCATTTGAGTGCAGTGTAGAATTTTGTCAAGTTGTGATGTGTAAAGCATCATAATAAGGAAGTACGTTTTTGTTGTTGTTGTTGTTTATTTATTTATTTTTAAACAGCTTTTGATTGACTGGTTTGAGATCAATATTTATGAATGTAATTATAAATTAAGTACATTTATAAAGTAATAAAATAATATTTGAATACATATTTTTAATAAAAACAGTATTTTATAAACATAAGCAAATATTTATTCACACCTAGTAAGAGTGTAAATAAATAAATATTTTTTAAATAGCAACTTTTGATTGACTTTGTCCATTAATTCATTCATACTTGTAGCGTAATGTAATTTTTGCTACTGATTTTTGATGATTTTTTAAAATCACAAATCTAAGATAGAAGTATAAATATAAATGCATTTTAATATAATATAATAATCTATACATACATAATGTTCAAACTAATTTTAAAATAAAATTAAATGTATAACAAAAATTTTAAATATAAATAAATGTATTGTGAATTTTTGCAATAAATGTTATTTATTCACACATAATAAGGGTGTAAATACTTTTTTAAAGAAAACTTTTGATTTGATTCATACTTTGAGTGTTATGTCATTTTTGCTGTTGATTTATATGGTGAATTTTCTTTTAAATTACATTGATGTATTTATATAAATAAATATAAATGTAATTACAATTGATAAAAATAAATACATTTATGAAGTAAATTATGATTTTTTTTTTTTTACAATTTTACATTTAAAATAACATTTGAATATGAATACATTTATTGTGAATTTATCAAGTAAATCAATAACTATTCATTTCAATAAAGTGATGTTATTTTTGCAATTACTCCTGTTGGTTAAAACAAAAAAAAGGAAAATAAATTAATGTGACATTATTTTGTGAACAGGACTGTGACATGCTGGCTGGTGAGAAGACGGCGTGGACGTCCTTAAGAGACGCCATCCCTCACCTGGAGCAGCTTCAGTCGGAGCAGCGTATCCTTCACAGCCGAATCAAGGGCTGTTACAGTGCCTGACACTCGGTGGGCGAGAACTGACTGTATCTCTAGGTTTAGCAGAGTGAAGTGAACTAGCCTGTAGCATTTGTGCTCTGGAAACAACTGCTAGTCTCTGCAAACTATGCCCGATTCTGTAGTCATATCAGTTTCTAAGACATTGCAATGAAAGGTGTGAGGGTAAATCGGTCAGTTCTGTCTAACTCGCTTGCTTTTACCCCTTTGGACACGTGGCTGATGTATAAAAGAAAACGCAGGCTGTCTTCCTTTTTAATTGTGTCCTTAACTGTTTAATCAAAAGGCTGGGAGGAGCTGCTGAAAGAGAGCCAGGCTCTTTTGCACAGATATACAGATGTCGTCCCGGACAGGAACATCTATGTGCTCAGGCTGCTGGATCTGTCCATGGATGCTTGCATTAGTCTGGACGACTATAAGACGGCGCTAGAGTACGGCAATAGAGCTCTGGAAACTTACAAGTGAGTGTCTGCATCAAAAAGTTGTTTTCTGTTTCTTTACTGATAGATTTTCCTGGTAAATCTCCATGGAATACACCTCCATCACACCCTCAAATCTATAAAAGTCCTATTATAACTGACTCACATAGACTTGCTCACGTCTGAAAACCAGAAACAGACAAGTGCAGATTTAGTTCATAAGAACACTAGGCAGTATTGAAGAATAAATCCCCATTATAGTATTTATAGTATTTAATAATAGCTTTTTCCTCATTGCCATCAGGGTAGTTTTTAAGCATTTTTAGAACATTTTCTGTGATTCAATCTTTTTTATTTATTTTTCATCTGTACTAATAGTTGATTGTAATAGTGAAAAATGACGTAGTCACAAACTGTTTTTAAATTCTGAGGTATCCTTAACAAAATGGTAACCATAGTTATAGCCAAAGTGATGTGGTTACTACACTTATTTAGTGGGGTTTACTATTTTTCAAAACTAAAAGTTTGATGTAGGTAAGACTTCAAATAAATTTATACTTCTGATTAGCAAGGATGCATTACATTGATCAAAAAAGACAAAAAAAGACAATAAAACGTTATTTATTTTTATTTATTTATTTACCAAATCAGCATATTATAATTATTTCAAAAGAATCCAAAAAAATATATATAATAATTGGTTTTCACAAAAATATTAAGCAGCACAACTGTTTTCAACATTGATTTGAGAATAACGAGAAATGTTTCTTGAGCAGCAAATCAGCATATTGATTTCTGAAGACTGAAGCAATGATGCTGAAAATTCAGCTTTACATCACATAAATAAATTACATTCTAAAATATATTAAAATAGAAAACAGTTATTTTAAATTATAATAATATTTCAGAATATTACTGTTTTTACTGTATTCTTTGGTCAAATACATGCAACCTTGCTGAGCATAAGAGTCTTCTCAAAAACCTTTTAAAATCTTTCCGATCCCAAACTTTTGAATTGCCATCAATGGAGAAAAAACTTTTTGCTCTCAGAATGGTTTTTAATGCAACACATTACAGAAATAATGTCCATACACCCGACCAAAAGTGTCCAAATGTGCCTTGTTTTTTCCACTTTAATTCATTATCATTGCAAATGCCTTCTTTATTCGCTTTGAAAATGGGGTTTAAGAGTCATCAGGAGTCATAATATCCATCAAACAGGAAATCAGTACAAATCACAACTTGGCTATGAAGGCTGTGAAAACGGTTTTGTTTAAGTGACAGCTCCAGTCATCACATAACGCCAGGCTTCATGACATTCCATTACAGCTTGATTCAGAAGGCTATTCGTCATGCGCCTTTGTTCTGTGTTTCAAAATTGTGAGGTTCATTATTGGCCTTGTCTGGGATCCCAAATTATTTCTGGAATTGGCTGGTCCTGACTCCTGTGTTCGCTGTGTGAATGCTTTCTGAACAGGCAATTATTAGAAGTGGTCCTGCCCCCCTCCTCTTGTCATTCAGGCTACAAGAGGTTTGGAAAGAGATACTGGCTGAGCGACCACCTGACAAAGCAATGATAGATCCTTCACATCACAAGAGAGCTTGAACGCCCTTGCAATCACTTTTCAACACAAGAAGAAAATTAAATTTGGTTACCTTAAGAAACTTTTCAAAAATTGTTTTCTATCTGTGGTACGATTTATTTGCAAAGGAACTGGATCCTGTTCTACATGTTGCATATTAACTGCAGTCGCTGCTGGCTATTGCGAGATAAATAGACATTTATTTATGCACCAATTCTATTTGGGGATCAGTCAGGCAGTTTAGTGAGAGCCACTGAATTGTTTTAATTGCTCAAGTGCTTAACATATGCAAAGTGATTCATTAGTGCATGCTGTTTTTAAGCCAGTCTTTTCACAATAATTAATTTGATTAGAAAATTTGCACAGCGGCTTCTAATTTTTTATGTGTGATGATGCTTTGCATTTCACTTTGAACTTTTATTCAGTCTTTAAAACCTAGACCCAGGGATATTCAATGATTTGACAACTTGGGTGCTTAGTTTGATCTGTGTTTTGCTTTTACAGGGACCAAAATTAACACTAACCAAGTGTCAATTTATTTGGCTTTGCAAATAAATAATGCAAAAAAAAAAATACAAATAAAAATGTGTTTTTATTTTAAATGCATATATTTATTATAATTATTTTTAAATTATTATAAAAATAAATTTTACAAAAATTCCCTTCATGTTTTGTTATAGGTGGACATATACAGCCTTTAATATATAAAATTATCAATTTACCTGTCATTACCAAGTGTGGCTAAAAAATTTTTTGCTTATGTTTTGCTTTTTTTTTTTAACACTTTCTGAAGGTGTTGTTAATTAAGCAAACCTAGAGAGAAGTGTTTCTTATAATACTCTGTAGATTTCGCTTTTCACTTACACTTACACTGCAGCCATCAGTTTAAACACATCACAGGTTTCTGGTACCTGTTGTTCAGCCTGGAAGCAGAAACTATTTGCATTTTCACATCCAGGTGACTGCGCTATCAATAGCTCAACTGCGGTTCGCTCATTAACAATACATTACAATATGAATGTTTTGGATTCCTGTCATTCAGTCATGTAGAATGGATACGTGGCTTCGTTCATGTAATTCTGGTGGTGTTTTGGCAGGTTCTGTCTCTAAAATTCACTATATATGGGTCAGAGACGAAAAGGAGTTTTCAAGCATCAAAACAATAAAAGTTTTAAATTTTGTTTCCCATACATTAGAATGTGTCCTGTTTAATTTTATTTTTTCTGAGCAAAAAGCAATGACTATCATACATTTTTACCATGATTTACAGAAGCTAAAATGCTACAGAAGCTACCCACTAAAATGTAATTTAGTGTAGCAATAGTTGAAATGCCAACAAATCTTTATTTAGAGCAAGACTCATTAGTTGACATTAAAAGACTCTATTTAAAGATCACAATGGAGCCCCCAAAACTAATTAATTGTCATTTATGTCTAATATTTGCCGCTATCCTTCAAACCACTAGGTTTTACCTATTTGTCAGCAAGAAGTTTTTAATCATTTAAAATATAATACAATTTTGTATAACCATGTTTTCTTTTATATATTTTAATAAGTACAGGTCAGAATAACTATGTTGTTTCAATTTTACATAAATATATCTGTTATAATGAATGAAGATGGAACATTGTTTCACCTATATTTTAACATTTTATTTTCACAAAAGTTATTTAAAACATTAAAGTAGACATTTTATCATGTTTTGTCCATTTCATTTAATACGGACACCAAAATGGAATGTCTAGTCTTCTACTCTTTGACCCTTGATAACAATATTATTATTATTTTAATTCTTATTATTCAATTCAAATATACATTCATTCATACGTGTATGTATAAATATAAATAAATACAAAAAAAAAACATGTATATCTAGTAATAATAAGAATTAAAATAATAAAATTTTATTAATATAATAATAATTCTATAATTTATATAGGTATATTAAGTAAAAAAAAAAAAACAATGCAAAAGTGAAGAATGTTTGTTTTTGAGGTTACAGTCGAGTTAAAAGTTGCTTAATCATTTTTCCTTACATTCCAGACCAGTTCAAGATTAAAGTGAGACAAGCTGCCGTGTCATTAATATGCAAATTAGAACATTAAGCAGTTAATCCAATGAAGTGGAAGAAGGGACATTCCTGAGAGTCCGGCTCCACGCGATGAACCGCCAAGGGCATCCGGATCTGTGGAGTTTCCCTTTGTTCCAGCAAAACTCTGACCGCTCCGCTTTGACAGTTCCGGCTCTCTGCAAGGGATGTTTGTTGGAGGTTCAAGAGTGATTTCACTCGAATGTTTATGTACTTTGTCTCATTGCCTGAACTAGCAATAGACATTGTGCATCTAGTTGTAAACAGAACATTCTTTAGACCTGACTCGCAGCATGTTGATCATTTACATGCAAAGTTTTATGTTTCAATCATGCAAAACAAGAGAAGCACGTGTCCAGACTTCACTAGATCACTTTGTTTTGTTATTATTTAGTTGAAATCTCCAGGACTGGTGGAAGAACCTGACCTGATCTTTTCTGTCATTTCTCATTAGATTAAAGAGTGCATGAATATTTATTCAAATCAGTCAGATTGTTTATATTATTGTGCCCACAGGGGTAGCATTTTTATATTTATAACTGCTGTAGGTTAGTTTCTTCTGCGTTATATGAAAATTGTATTGACTACTGACCAAGTCAAGCTTAGTCACTACTGGGGCTTTTAAAGCATCACTTTTATCTCATCACCAAATGCCATCTGATCTATTCACAGGAGGTTCAGTCATAGTTCATCAGTCTACATAGTCTGCAGAGTCTTTGCTAGAGGCACCTACACTGATGTACAACAGCATACTGCTCTCAATGAGTTCAGTCTATTTCTGTCTCCAAATTGTCATTGAACGGTGATGTAATTTTTACGCCACAAGCGACACCAAACAGAATTGCAGAAATAATGGCCTACCTCCATCAGCATGTTGCTCAGACCAACAGATCACCTAAAACTCACTGATACCTAATGCAATGCCATTCAAACCTTTTTAATTGCATCCATATACATCTTTAAAAGACAATGAGTAATATTATTGATTTAACTGCACTGATAGTATTGGATGAGAACACAGTTTTAACTGAATTGAGCTGGATAATGACTAATAACTAATTTTGCAACATTAACACTGTTTTTGGACTGAATTGAAGCAATATAGCTGACTAGTTAAATTGATCTTGTTTCATAATTGATGAACTTTGCAACATTGACATAGTTATTGAATAGAATTGAATCAACACTGAACTAAATTGAGCTTAATAATAACACTATTGTCTTTTGTAAAGTTGCATTACAGTTGAAATGGAATTTGATTTGTAATTGATTAATTTTACAACATTAACACTGTTATTTTCCTGTTTATTAAATAATAATATTTCCTATAAACATTTTCATATAACCTGTAGAATGCATCATGTTGTTC